GTGCACAACTGCTTGTGCCACCAGGGGAGGCCCTGTTTGGTGTGCTCTTTCTCGGATGTGGGAAACTGGTGGTTTAGTAGAGTCAAATACAGTTATGCCAGAAGACCAGTAGGGCAGTGGTACTATGAATATGTTAATGGTTGCTGTCCCAGACACTCTCCTCCTTTGTATTTGTTTAATTCCAGAGGTGGATCTTGAGGTCCCACAGACTGCCCTGGCAGTGGCTGGATAACCCGCTGGGTTCCAAATTGCTGGATCCCCCTGTGGGCTCCGTTTCACTGCCAGGCAGGTCTTGGCTTGTGGGGGCCTTCAGCTCACCTCTGGCTGTGGGGGAAGCCCTTTCTTAGTTCCACACAGTCTCAGTGGGTTCTGGACCCAAAGATCCCTGTTCTAGGGTGGCAAGTCAGAAAGGTACTCCACTGCCCCCACAGTCTGCCCCTGCGGTGGCTGGATCCCCCTCTGGGCTCCAACTGGTGGCCAGACAGGGCCTGGTTTGTGGGGACTTTTCTGTTCACCTCCAGCTGTGGGGGCAGTCCTTTCTGTCTTTACATTCAAGGATAGTTTCCTTCACTGGACAGGAGCTTTCAGTTTGATGTGGATCCACTGGTCTACCTTTGCTTCTGTTTCCTTGGAGCACAGAAGATACCGAGGGCAGTGAGTCTACTGTGTAGGACATGACATGTTGTCCATGTCATTGTACATTTGTCTAAAACCCACAGCATGGACAACACCAAGAGTGACCGAACGTGTAGCCAAGGGCCGTGTAAGATGATGATGAACAGGTTCATCATATGATAGACATTCCTCTCTGGTCTTATTATGTGATTAGGACATGATGCAGTCATGATAATACTTTCATTATTTCATGAGCACAGAAGAAAATTTTATACTCAAGAATTTACATAGCTAAATGAACAACATCCCCTTCCCACAATAGCCCTCCTGTGAGCCAGGGCATCTGCTCAAACCAGTTAGCAATTTACCATTTCTCTCTCCAGAAAAATATATCTATGCCTATATCTAGTCACTAGTGTTTACTATTGTATAAGTACAAGAGTGTAAGACACAGAGTGGGAGAAATGATTATAAATCACATCATGTATCTGGTAAAGGACTTGTGTCTAGAACTGATATTATAAATGAAGTCTTACAACTCAACAATAAGAAATGATCTAATGCAAACAATGGACAAAATACTTCACCAATGAAGGATACAGATGCCAAATAACTGTAATGCTCAATATCGCAGGTTATTAGGGAAAGACAGAGTAAAAAGAACAGTGATACTATTACATGCTTATTAGAAGGCAAAAGTCCCCCTAAAATGGGCAACACCATGTGATGACTGCAACACAGGTGCCCTCATCACTGCTGGCAGGATAGGATGACCCAGTCATTAGGGAGGATCTGACATTACTTTTCAAGCCAAACAGCCCAGTGAGCATTGTCCCTGCTATTTACCCAACTAATCTGAAAACTTATATTTGCAACGAAAACCAAACCAAAAAACCCTGCATGGAAGTAAATGTTTATAGCAGAACCCCCACTAAGTGTGAGCTGCCCATAGTGACTTCCTTCCAAAGACAACAATAACGAAATAAAAGAAAATGAAAGTGGATGTGTGTGCACTTGATGTGCAGATGGAGAACGGCCTCAAATGGAGGTCATTGTGCCTGAGCAACTCTGCACAGTGTCATCAGCAGAGGAAAGTTTGAGAAACTGTCAGCCAGAGGAACCAAAATCACGTGGTTGAAACTTCATGTGGTTGGAAATTCATGTGGTGTCCTAAGTGGGGTGTGGGAGCATGAAAAGAGCATTAGGAAAATTAATGAAACCCAAATACAGCGCAGAGTTTAGTGAAAGTGAATCCATATTGCTTCCTTAGCTGCTCAAATGCACTGTGGTCACATGAGATGTTAACTACTTGGAAATAATGTGGGTTATATAGGAACTCTACTACCTTTGTCATGTTTCAGTAAATCTAACAGTATTTTTTAAAATGTTGTTTGAAATTAAATTTTAAAACAAAATAACATTTTAAAAAATAGCCCAACAAAGTTATAGGTTGTAGAAGGAAAAATGATTAACTTCCCAGTTTTCTCAGGTATTGCTTTCAAGGGACTGGAGAGAGGGGTTCTGGGAGAAAAGCTGGAAACCTCACACCCAGGGCAGGCTCCGGAGTCTCCTCTCCTCTGAGCCCTGCTTCTCTGACTCATCACAGAGCATCTCAGCACCAGGACGCCACCCTTCAGGACCCCCAACTCTGCCCACCTCAGCCCCCGCCCCGTCCTGGCAGCTCCACCAGAATCCGGACCAGCGCGGCAGCGCCCCCGTGTGGCCACAGGGCTGAGCACAGGCGCCCAGAGCCGCCCTTTCTCCTGCTCAGCCAGGCCCTCCCCAGGCTCCCTGGGCCCCCAGCGGCAGGGCAGGTCCACTGTTAGGTTAGGGGTCCTCAAATTGATCCCCTACTGTAAACTACGGGTACAGGCCTCAGGGAAGAGCCAAGTATCTAGGTCATAACAGTTGCTCTCTCAGTTCTGGATCACTGAATTATACAGTTTCCCTCAATCTATTTGGATGGGAACTTAGACTCCAGAGATCCTGTTATTTGTTCCTGCTTTCAGGGATGAAAGTGCCTCTTCCGGAGCATCAGCCCCAAATTCTCCATCCTTAGGGTGAGGGGACGGGCCAAATAACAGACTCTCAGGCTCTGTTCTAGACCTTCTAGTCTTCATGAGCATCCAGGTGACTCTTGTGCTCACTGAAGTGGAGGCTCCCTGGGCTCCATATCTTCTCCACGTGGGGTCAGACTGTGCGGTTGGCTGTGGGGGGGCATCTGCTCTGATTGCTCATCACTGTGGACTCTGGGGTTCAATTCTGCTCCTTCCTCTTGCTTAGTCATCACTTTCCGGGTGACCTTTACATGCTCAAGACTTTAAATATGTTACACCTCATCACCTAATTCTTACCTCAGACATTTCACCTGTGCCCCAGACTTGTCTGTCCAATTGACAACCTCACTTTCAATTTTAATGGATCTGATTCAGCTTTCCTAAACTGAATGCCTAGGATGCCACATATGGTTCTTCTGGGGTCTTCCCCATGTCACTGAGGCTGCACCTCTCTGCCTGCACAGTCTGAAACACTGAGTGTCATCCTTGACCCCTTTCTCATAGCCCAGTAGCAGGAAACACTGTAAAGTCCATGTCTAAATATGCACAGTCCTGTCACTGCCTATTATTTCCCCCACTCACCCCCAATGAAGCCACCAACCTCTGTCCTGGGACCTGCACTGGTTTCCTCCATTTCTCTTCCCACCTCTCACCCTTTCATGCTGCACAGCAGCCAGACTGAGGCTACTCAAGAGAAGTCCCATAGGTGCATATCTGTTCAGAAGGTCTTGTCATCCCATATCTTACTCAGAGTCAAACCCTCCCAACAGCCTCACGGCCTGAATGATCTGGGTGCACACAGATCTCATTTTAACTGGCCTCTGCTCAGCCCTTGGCCTCCTTGTTCATGTCAGTTACACACATTCCTGCTCGGGCATCTGCACTGGAGGTTGTCCTGCCTGGACTCAAGTACCCTGCACATTACATCCTTTTGGGCAACGTGTCCATCAAACTTTTTCTCAATGGTCACTTCAGTGAGACCCACACTGACCACGCTGGGAAGAAAATCATCCTGTAGCCTTCCCACAGCCCTTACCCACTTCTAACCAGACATGCAGGGTTTACTGTCTGATCTGTTGTCACACAGTCCCCAGTCTCCCCTCCCCACTAGGACACACTCTCCACAGGCTGCAAGTTTTGCATGTTTTTAGTTCATTGAGGTTTCCTAGTTGCAAAAACAGTCAGTCACACATTTGGCGCAACAGTTGTCGGTTGTGTCATCACACCTCCCTGTTCTAGAAACAGTGTCTTTACTAATGTGACACATTACACGGGTGTATTTCTTTTTAAAAGGGGTTCCTAGGTGTTTTTTCCCCAAGATTTATTTATTTTTGCACAGAAGAACTGGGGTGTAGATCAGAGTGCATGGGTGAGGTTGGTGAGAGGATTACCAGAGACAGAGTGGGGAAGGAAACAGGCAGATTTACTGGAATGCGCTGCTAAGGGGAGCAGCAGGTGAAACAGGAGAGGTCTACTGCACCCTATGTTGGTTAGCTCCCCAGCTGAGGATTGAACTCCAGGTATAGAGGTGATAGCACTGAGACTTAACCCCTGGGCCACCAGGAACGCCTGGGTTCCTAGGCTTATGGGTCCTATTTTTCAGCCAACTATGAAGGTAACTGACTCCATCAACCCATGGGTCTCGATTAGCACCAGCACCAGCACTTACTATATTTAAGGGCAGGGCTAAAGGGAGAAGCTGTAGAGAAAAATGGAAATCTATCAGGAATTTACCTAATCCACCAGGAATTTATCAAATCCTTCTCTCTAGTAAGGCCAGGATTTTGTTGGAAAAGATGAAAAGAATCCAGAAAAAAAGTCCTAAATGAGGCCAAAAATCAGATGAGTCTGGAAATTCATCTCACCAGACTCCTGTATGCAAGGGACACCCTGGGCCTTGTGGGGACAATGACAGATGCTCCTGCTGCTGTCAGAGACAGGAACCAAGAGGACATGAGGCCCGGTCTCAAAACATCAAGGACAACAGGCATAAAGAAAAAAACCAAAGCAGCAAACAGGAATCAATAGAAAAGCTAGACCCTGAGCTGAGCCTGGGCTGACCCGGCCACACAAGCACTCCCTGCCCAGACATGACAGCACAAAGCCAGGTGGGGTCTGAGTCCCTGTGATCACAGGCCCTGCTGGGACAGGTGCTGCTGAAGGACAAGGACAAAGGAGCAGAGAGAGGACCCCCTGAGGAGTGACCATGTCAAGCCCACGACACACTGAGCACTGACTGGACACAGGCTCCATCCCCCTCAGCCCTTCACAGCCTCTCCCACCCCCACCTGCACAGACTCAGCACAGCAAACACATGATTCTAGAAGGTTTCCCATTTATTTCATCTCAAATTTTAGGAATCATTTTTATTAGCCCACCAAACCCATCAGGCAAGCTTACAAAAATTAATTTCAGAACTCAGGGTCTCCCTGGTAGTGCAAGGATTTAAGCACCGCACTATGAAGCAATCCACGGCCTCTGCAGCATGAGTTTGATCCCCGGCCAGCCAGGGAGAAACCTACATGGTGCAGCAGATCCCTCTTGCCTCGTCCCCTGCTCCCCTCAGCAGTGTATTTCAGTACATCTGCCTGTTCTGTTCCCCACTCTGTCTCTGGTGAATCCTCTCACCCCCTGCATCTCTGGCCTGTACCCCAGCTCTTGTATGCATAAATAAATAAATCTTAAAAAAATTAAATCCATTTTAAAAAAAAGAAAAAAATTTTCAGAACTCAATTATTATTTTAAGAGGGAAGTAGTTACTATTCCTGAGGAAAACACAAACACCAGGATAGACACAGACTAAGCTACCTCTGCTGGAACAGGAAAGTCATCAAGGAGAGACACAGGTCAGTGTGGGGAGGGGCCTGGTGGGCAGGGCTGGGCCAGTCTCCCCACCTCCTCACATTATCCTACAAGAACAGAGACACATTCCGATGCCTTTTGCAGCAAAGGAAATCAGAGGATCTTGATGTTACAAAGTGGGGGTGGAAGAAATCCTGCATCACTCAGCCCCCACAAGGCAGCTGGTTCACACTGTGAAGGAAAAGGATCATAAAAAATTTCAAAGAAACACATAAATGTCAACATTTTCCATAGTCCACCGTATCCTCAGAATGTCCCATCACAGCTTCCCCATAACTTGGTCCCATCCTCTCTGCCCCAGCTCCCCCTCCTCTCCCACCACCACAGGCCCCTAGGGTCTTACCTTTAGCAGCTGAGAGACACATAAGAGCCCTGGGCACTGTCGCTGCCTGGGGGAGAACAAAACAGAACCTGGTCAGAGCCACAGTGAGATGAGACCACAGGAGGGACTGATGAGGGTGACTCCCCCATGGGCTCCATCTACACTGTCCCCAGGGCCTCAGGGATGAAACTCCTGATCTACACTGTAGCTGCAGGAAGGCACAGTGCAGGATCTCTATGACCCAAGCATAACTGGAAAGGAGAGGAGTCCTGGACTCCTAGGTGACTTTTTCAGGCTTTATTCGGGATTTCACTAAGTACACAGCAGGCAGGGGTGCTGGGGGCGGGAGGCTGGCAGGCCTCCCAGCCCCTGGTGAATCTTCACTCTTTACTGGGCTCTCTCTGGTGTTCTCTTCCGGTCTCTTGCTTTTCTCCTTCTGGTGCTTCTGTTCCCAGATGCCGTCCTTCTCAGCCCAAGTGAATCCCACCTACATATGCCCACACCCTACCCAGGTGCCTGCCATCAGGCATGCATTCAGGACCACAGGGATCCATCATCAACCCTAATGGCAGGAAGGCAGAAAAGCCTGACAAACACCTACACACACTGACCTGCAGCCTGAGTGTAGCTTCCTCCTTGTCCTCCTGTGGGAAGAAGCCTCATGTGAGACCAGAGAGGAGCCAGGCTATGAAGTCCTAAAGGAATCCCCAAGACTGGACCACAGGGATGTTTCCAGAACTGTGACTGGATACTTAGGGCAGGACCAGGAAATATGAAGAGAGGAGATGAGAGGGGACTGGACCAACTGCCTCCTGGGTCTGCCCTCAGCAGCAACCTTCCCCTCCTCTGCCATTTACTGGAATCAGGGCCCCAGCACCAGAATTATCAAGGGGAATAATGTGACTCATTTTCAAAAATGCTTTACAAAAGAGGGTTAGCAATCAGCTCCAGACTGGGCAACACATGGGTGTGGATGGTTGTAGGGTAAGTAAAAATCATATCAGGCTTTTCACCCTCCTGCCATTAGATAAAATGCATGCCTGATGGCAGGCACCAGGAGTAGGGTGTGGGCATGCGTAGGTGGGATTCACCTGGGCTGAGAGTGGGCTTATAAGGGCAGCGTCATGGGATGCCAGTGGACCAGCAGAACCAACAGAAGGAGAACAAGCAAGAGAACAGCACCAGCAGAGAAAAAGAGAGAACGCCGGACAACCCAGAAAGAGTGAAGGCTTGCTGGGGGCTGGGAGGCCTGCCAGCCTCCCAGGCCCCCCAAGCCCCTGCCTGTCAGGCACCTGGTAAACTCACTAAAAGCCTGAAAAAGACACCAAGGGCTCAGGACTCCTCCTTCACCTGTCTGCTCGGGTCACAGAGATCCTGCCCTGTGCTCATCCTGCCCCTACAATGGTACTTCCCATTTGTAGGGACAGAAATGGACACAGTGCAGGTTTCCTGATCCAGCAGACCCGGTAAAGAAGGAGTCAGAGTCCTGGAGACCTCGATGGCTTTTGCAGGTCTTTTATTTAGATTTACCAGGCATATGGCAGGCAAGGGTGCTGGGGGGCCAGGAGGCTGGCAGTCCTCCCAGCCCCCAGCAATCTGGGCTCTCCGGCATTCTCTCTGCTTCTCTTCTTCTTCTCTCGGCTTCTGCTGGTGTCCCCGTGACGCCACCCTTAAAAGCCCAGTCTCAGCCCAGGTGAATCCCATCTACCTATGCCCACACCCCATTCCAGATGCCCGCCATCAGGCATGTATTCAGGACCGCAAGCAACCATCATCTATCTTGATGGCGGGAGGGTAGAAAAGCCTGACATTTATTCCTTACCCTACACCATTGTAGGGCAAGTTCTCCCTGTGGCCTGAAAGTCCCCAGTGGACATGATTCCCCCACTTCCTTCCCTACCTGAGCGCTTCTTCCTCCACCTCACAGCTGCAGCCACTGCAGCTCCAGTGAGCACAGCAACAAGGAGAACCAGGCCAGCAATGATGGCCCTGGTGGGGTCAGTGGAGTCAGTAGGGACCATGGGCTGAGAAGGAGGCACTGGAAGGGAAGGGAAGGTGAGACCCTGAGCCCCAGGTCCCCATCTGATGCTCTGAAGGTCTCCAGAAGGACTCCTGATGCCCCTGAGAAGTTCTGTGCCCACGTTCCCTCCTTACCCCAAGTCAGGACTTGGGGCTCCAGCAGCCCCTCATGCTGCACATGGCACGTATATCTCTGCTCCTCTCCAGAAGGCACCTCCACAGCTGCCCACTTCTGGAAGGTTCCATCCCCCCCAGGCCTGATGTCCACCAGCTCCGTGTCCTGGGTCAGGTCCTCCCCATCTTGCTGCCAGGTCAGGGTAATGTTCGCAGGGTAGAAGCCCAGGGCCCAGCACCTCAAGGTGACCTTCTGGTCAGAGGTGGGGTGGTGGGTAACGTGCATCTTTGGGGCATCTGAGAAGGGTGAGAAATTTCACGCTCTGGATTTTTCTCTCATGGACCCTGAAAAACCCTCATGTCCCATCCTCAGAATGGACAGGGCAGTGGGTTTGGAAAGAGGAAGCACAAAATCTAGGAACCAGCCTGGTCTGGGGAGTTTGGGATAATTTCTTATTCCTTAGAAAGTTCTAGAATCAGGGAGACAACTCTGTACAGGAGGACGCAGTTCTCTAAGGAGGAGAGCACGGACTTGTGCTCCTGACCTGGGGACTCAGAAAAGCATTATCAGATCAGAAAAATGTCCTCAGACCAATAACAAGATCCTGAGAGAAACACTGATGGTTCCCAAGAGGGCTGCCGGGTCAAAAGGATCCCGTGAAGGGTGATTTCAGGGCTGGTCGCCCCTCAGGCTCAGGAGAGACTGGATTCCTTAACTGTTCTGAGGAAAAGTGGGGTCCTCTGGGGAGTCAGGAAACCCGGGGGGGTCCTCCTCCACTGACCAGAGAGGGGCGCTGGTGTGACCCTGACTCCACCCTCCCCGCGGTGTCGGCCTGAGGGGGTTGGGAGACCTCGCGGCCCCTCTTACCTGAGCGCTGCAGCGTCTCCTTCCCGATCTCCAGGTATCTGCGTAGCCACTGCACGCACCTGCCCTCCAGGTAGTTCCTCCGGCGCTCCGCCTCCCCGGTCGCCTCCAACTTGCGCCGGGAGATCTGAGCGGCCGTGTCCGCCGCGGTCCAGGAGCGCAGGTCCCGGTTCAGGGCCAGGTAATCGGCGCCGTCAAAGGCGAACTGATGGTACCCGCGGAGGAGGCGCCCGTCGGGCCCCACGTCGCAGCCGTACATCTGCTGGAGGGTGTGAGAGCCTGTCCCCGCCCCGTCACCCCGCGGTCACCCCGCGTCACCCCGCCCGCGCCCGCCCCCCCCAGGGAATAAACCGAAACTGACGCGGGAACCTCGTGGGGAACGTCCCGGGGCTCGTCCCGGGTCGAGGGTCCGGCGGGTCCCCCTGCCTCGGGGGACGCTCGGGCCCGGGGTCTGGGGTCCCCGCCCGCCCGCGGGTGGGGTCGTGAGCGCCCCGGGCCCGCCCCGCTCACCGGCCGCGCTCTGGTTGTAGTAGCCGCGCAGGACGCGCAGGTTCACTCCGAACATCTGTGCGTTGCCCTTCGCTCTCCGCGTCTCCTCCTCCCAGTACCCCGGGCCCTCCTGCGCCATCCAGGGCGCCCGCGGCTCCATCCTCGGCCCCGCCGCGTCGCTGTCGAACCGCACGAACTGCGTGTCGTCCACGGAGCCCACGGCCATGAAGCGGGGCTCCCCGGGGCCGGGCCGGGACATCGCGGTGGAGAAATACCTCAGGGAGTGAGGGGAGCCTGGGGGCGGGAGGGGAGACCGGGCTGACCCTCCTCCCGCGGGTCCCGGGGAGACGGGGCGGGAGGGGAGGGGGCGAGGGGGCTCCTGAGATTGAAATGGGGCAGCGGAGGAGAAGGCTGGAGACTCAGAGGGGCAAGAGGAGGAGGGAGGCGGGGAGGGACAGAAAGGGATCAGGGCAGGGTGGGGTGAAGGGGCACAACAGGGTCAGCAGTGGGTCCTTGCCCTCCCTGGGGCTCCTCTAGTTCCCCCTCCTCAGTGGCCTTTTCCCTCCGGAGCCCACACTCACCTGCCCAGGTCTCTGTCAGGGCCAGGGCCCCTGAGAGCAGCAGCAGGAGGGTTGGGGGCCTCATGACAGGTGCTCTTGAGGTCTGGGGAGACAGTCCAGACTGGTGGCAGCTGTGATGCTGATTGGGGTCTTTAAAGACCCTCCAGGCAATGGGGAGTGAGAACTGGGGGTGAGTCACCAGTATTCAAAGGACTTGACACCTGTGTGGGAGAGAAAGGTCAGTCTGGGGAGAGGGGGAATCCCCAGCAGTGACCTTCTCAGCCCCTTGCACAGCCCACAGGACTGAGACCCGACACCTGGGACTTTGCCGCCCCCTCCTCTCCTGCTCCAAGACCTTTGTCACACTGTTGCCTCCCTGAGACCAGGTCAGGGACTGGGGCTGCGATTTTCAAGATTTTTCGTTTCAGGATCTCTGCACAGTTTTACAAATTAGCGAGGACCCAGTATAATTTTAGGAGGTTATAGCTCTCAGTATTTACTACCTGAGGAATAAACACAATTTAAAGATATTTTCATTTAATTTAAAATAATATTAATAACCCAATGTGTGTTCAAAGTGTCTTAAACAAATATAGATATTTAATGAAAATAATCAGGGTCATGAGTGGATCTTTTACAGCTCACATTTTTGCAATTATTTTTCTTCTCTGTCTCACTAGAGGAATGTTGGATTGACCTATTTTCTCCTGCATTTACTCTTTGTTTTGGTTGGCCAATGAAAAACTATACAGCCTCTCTGAAATATGTGAAATAGCATTTTAAATACCTTTCAGATAATTGTGAATATGCAACTTTGTTCCACTTCTACAATAAATTGAAACTATACAAGTGGTGTTTTCTCAAATGTTATTTGCAAAGTGAGTGGTAGAACAATATCACTGAATGTTTTCTATCCTGTTACAGTAATTCCATAGGCCTCTATTGGTTATTAATCTTGAACTAATATGTGATTTTAAAAAGTGATGCATTGTTTTACCAGGTTACATGATCTTTATGTTAATTATTCTAGAATCAAATTTTGAAAATCATACATGTTTTACATTCCAAAGAGCCCCAAAGAAAAGTAAGTGGCTACTGAAAGTTGTCAAGTTTATAGCGATGGGACACAATTTTTCACTATCTGGTCTTCACTTGGAGCATGTACTTTATCAAGGCATTTAATTACTGTCATTTATCAACTGTCAGTAGAATTTCTTTTTTTTTTTTAAGATTATTTATTTATACAAGCACTGGGTACAGTCAGAAGTGTGGGAGGGCGAGGGAATTCACCAGAGCCAGAGCAGGGAACAGAACAGGCAGACTGACTGAAATACACTGCTGAGGGGAGCAGCATAGATTCCTGCTATGAATGTTTATCTTTTTTGATATTCCATTGTGTATATGTACCACATCTTCTTGATCCAGTCATCTGTTTTTGAGCATTTGGGTTGTTTCCAAAGCTCAGCTATTGTAAATAGTGCTGCTATAAACATAGGGGTGCAGGTGCTCTTTGGAATTAATGTTTCTGTGTCCCTTGGGTAAATACCCAGGAGTGGAATTGCTGGATCATATGGAAGCTCTATCTTTAGTAGGTTGAGGAATCTCCACACAGCTTTCCATAGTGGTTGGACCAGTTTGCACTCCCACCAGCACTGCAGGAGAGTTCCTTTTAAACTGGGTCACTACATGCAAAAGAATGAAACTTGACTACTGCCTCACACCATGCACAAAAACCAACTCAAAATGGATTAAAGAACTAGACATAAGACCTGAAATCATAAAATACATAGAAGGAAATATAGGCGAAACACTACATGACATGCACCTCATAAACATCTTTACAGACACATCACCCAAAGTAGATTTTTTTTTGCTCCTTTTATTTTTATTTTTTAATAATAAATTTTATTTTTATATTCCCCATACAATTGCAACCCCCTTATTTTGACCCCAATCCCTCCCCTCCCGCCCCTTACCCCCCATAGAGTGTCTCTGGTTCATAGTTTTTTGTTGATTTTGATTTTCACTTTCTTATAGTTATTCATTTTCCTGGTCCCTTATTTAAGTTTTCTAGATTCCTGCTATGAGTGAGACCGTCCGGTATTTTTCTTTTTCTTTCTGGCTTATTTCGCTGAGCATGATCCCTTCCAGCGCCATCCATGTTGCTGCAAATTGCATGTGTTTATCTTTTTTGAATGCTGAGTAATATTCCATGGTGTATATGTACCACATCTTCTTGATCCAGTCATCTATTTTTGGGCATTTGGGCTGTTTCCAAAGCTTAGCTATTGTAAACAGTGCTGCTATAAACATAGGGGTGCAGGTGTTCTTTGGAATTGATGTTTCTGTGTCCTTTGGGTAAATACCTAGGAGTGGGATTGCTGGATCATATGGAAACTCTATGTTTAGTAGGTCCAGAAATCTCCACACAGCTCTCCATAGTGGTTGGACCAGTTTGCACTCCCACCAACAGTGCAGAAGAGGTCCTTTTTCTCCACACCCTCGCCAACATTTGTTGTAGCTAGTTTTTTTAATATGTGCCATTCTCACTGGTGTAAGATGGTATCTCATGGTAGTTTTATTTTTTTTATTTTTTTATTTTTTTATTTTTTTAAATTTTTTTTTTTTAGAGGCATTTTTATTTATTTATTTGTTTGTTTGTTTGTTTGTTTTGTTTATACAAGCACTGGGTACAGTCAGAAGCGCGGGAGGGTGAGAGAATTCACCAGAGCCAGAGCGGGGAGCAGAGCAGGCAGAAGGACCGAAGTACACTGCTGAGGGGAGCAGCGGGCGGCAGGAGAGGTCTGCACGCCATGTGGGACCCTCCTCCGGTGGCCAGGGAGCAGCCGGGGATCGAACCGGCGCGGCAGAGGCCGCGGGCAGCTTCGCAACCCAGCGCTCAACCGCTGCGCCACCGGGGAAGCCCCTCTCATGGTAGTTTTAATTTGCATTTCCCTGATGACAAGTGATGTTGAACATTTTTTCATATGTCTGTTGGCCATTTGCATTTCCTCTTCAGAGAAGTTTCTTTTTAGCTCTTCTGCCCATTTTTTGACTGGATTATTTTCTTTGTTGTTGTTGAGTCTCATCAGCTCTTTGCAGATTTTTGTGATCAGTCCTTTATCATTAGTGTTGTGTGCAAAAATGTTCTCCCAGTTGGTGGGGTTTCTCCCAAAGTAGATTTTCTTAAAGGGACAGCTCACATTCATTTTCTAGAAAGTGTGTACAGGTTAACCAAACCTAAATAATGATAGTTTTTGTCATTCATCTCTTCAAGTAAAGATGGTAGTGCCCCCCACCAAGGTCTAATTCATCTCCTACATATTAGTGTCCTTGGGACGTAGTACTTTGGATTGTAGCAGAAGTGACTTATATGTGCTCCATGTCATCAGAAACTGAGTTTACTTTGTCTCCAGATTCTCTCTCTCAGGCTTGAGGAGATGCTCCCTGCTTTCCTGAGCCTCCCAGTAGCTCTTCACACTGGACAGGGTGGTCTCTGTCCATGTCCTGCTCCCTCCTTCCTGCTCTCTCCTGTGCATCCCTTCTCCTCTGGGCTCAGGTGCTGGCCCTGCCTGTGGAAGGTTGACAATGAGGGGTCATCTCCAAACTTGAGGACTCATTTCAATGCTTTTATATTTCTCATTGTTAAAAACAGCTGACAGTGTTTTTAATTCCCTCCTGGTATGAAAATGCTTTGTAATATTTTGTATTTTTATAGTGAACACAGATTATATATTAAAAACTGTACTATTGTAGGGTAAATGGTTTTCAGGCTTTTCTGCCCTCCCACCATTAGGATCGCCCTGCCTGTTGGGGCAACCTGCAGTTGTTACATTGTTGCAAACTATCTTATTTACTTCTGTGGGCCATAGGAGGAGTATTCAGAGGGTCACCAAGAGAAGAGAAGCAGGAGAAGAGAAGGAGAGAGGCAGGAGAGGGAAGGGGCAAAAGAAGTCAGAGTAGCCCAGAATGAAGACTTGCCTGGGGGCTGGAGGCATATAGGCCTCCTGGGCCCCGGACACCCCTGCCTGGGCCCCGGACACCCCTACCTGGTTGCTGCTCTATATGTAACAGTTCAATAAAACCTGAGAAAACCACCGAGGGCTCCAAGACTCTCTTTTACCTGTATGCCAGATCATAGATAACCTGCTCAGTGACCATCCTGCTCCTACAACACACACACACATCATAGGCAGAATAAAGCAGGTCTCCCTAAATTTTGAAAGGGACAGCGGGTCGTGGTGGTCAGGCTCAGCACAGAGCTGAAGGGCTGGGCTCCCTGTCTGCTCTGTGCTGGGTCCTCACAGCCTTTCCTCCCTCCTTAGGACGCTGCTCTCTGTGGGGCCCAGGCAGCGTCTCCTTGCCCTTTTGGGTGTGGCTGTTTATTACTAGATTGTCAGTTCTAATGCTTTTCAGAAGATGGTTTTGTATCTCACACGCATCTCACATTTTTAGCTGTTTTCAGCGGGAAGGTGTGTCCATCCACCCAGCCCACATTTGTCAGGTGGAAATTCTAAGGCAAAATCATTCAGTGACAAGATGGCGGGTCCCAGAGTCGAGGGTCAGAGCCTGAGAACACGTGACTGAGGGGATCTGCCAAGTGTTTGAAAGTGTCAGGGATTGTGTAATTTATTTTTGATAATAAATGATTTTGATAACAACTAATATTTGTTATTCACACACACACAGAGGATTCATAAATACTCAAGAACATACACAAATACATAAGTCACATCCTCAGTCAACCAAGTCTCTAGTCTGAACCCACTGCAGGCAGCAACTTCTCATTTCTCTTCCCAGAAAAGTCTGTGTATGCACTGATGTGAGTGTTAGGTCTGTAAGAGAGCTTGGGCCACGGACCAGGAGAAAATATTTGCAAAATATGACTGATATAATACATGCTTTAGAATATGCATGGAACCCTAAAATTCAACAAGGAACAGATAACTGTTTAAAATTGAGCAAAACTTTGAACATTTTCCAAGGAAGCTATATTGATGGCAACTAGGCATATAAACAGAAACTCAACCTCATATGTTGAAAGACATAAATAAATGCAAGTGCAAATTAAGACCTCAAAGACATGCAATACACACCTATTACATGGC